AAACGGCCGAGAGCGAGAGAGAGGGAGAGAGATTCCTAATGGCGCCTCAAAGTGATTACTTGAGTAGTCAAACAGAATGCTAGAATTACTCAGGGTATACTTAAGATGTTACTTAAGTTTAAGGCGCAATTTGCTCCTATGAAAAGGCCCAATGTATCCTGCCGGACATATGGAAATCCTCTCATCCCCGTCCTCTGTCGCTTATCGGCCAAAACTGTTTAAATGTTCCAAGAACGTGCCGGGAATCGAAGTCGCGACCGTTACAAATTATCCAAGCTCCGTTCCTCCTTCTCGAAGGTCTACTACTACAACTCGAGTAATTACAAAATAATGATTGATAAAAAGACTACTAATAGATAGCAGAGTGTAGCAGTAATCATGATGGTGTGGTATCAGCAACAACAAATTCCCAATCTTCCTCCTACTGCTGTGCACAGGCCACACTAGGGCCCCTGTGACCTTCCTCGTCATCTTCATCATAGGCCTCACCACCGCCACTCTCCGCCCCCATACGCGCGCTCACACTAGGATCCATATCGACCAACTCGTGATGTTCATATTCCTCCTCCATCTTTTTGGTAATTCTCGGTGAATCTTTAGGCGCCGGCAACACTTCTTTCAACTTCTCCATTGCTTCCTCCGATAAACTTTCCGGGAAAACTATGTCCAAGATCAAGAACAGGTTGCCATACACAAACGGGTTCTTATGTGTGGGCATTCCCTCTCCTTTCACAGACTTCAAAAAATGCTTTTCACTCGCCATATCAATCGGTCTGATAATGTCACCCGGTTTAGACCGAATTATCAATTTTCGATCATCCAAGTGATTTACAACAGTCGTATATCCCGTTAGTGCTTCCAGTAAAGTTACGCTACGACGAATAAATAAATCATTTCCTTTTCTAGTGAAGCCACCTGTATCTTCTTTCTGCTTCAAAACAATGACCAAGTCGCCGGGCTCAACATCGGGGCTGTCCTCATCGGCCATCCCTCGGAATGGTATACGCTGACCATGTCTCATACCCTTTTCAATATGCACCTCTACCATCTCTTTGCTGCGCTTCGTTTTAAAACTTTGCCCTTTGCCCTGACACTGCCGGCATGGTGATTGTATCTGAT